AGGAGGCTTGGAGCAACCTGGTCTAGTGGAAGGTGTCCCTGCCCATGGCAGGAGGGTTGGAACTGGATGGTCTTTGAGATCCCTTCCAACCCAAACCATTCTGTAATTCTATTTTTGAATCAATATTATACTAGAATGTATGTACAAGCAACAGACATACCTTTAACATTCTTTAATACTTCAGGTCTCTGTTGAACTAAGCGACCAAGACTGTGCAGCTGGCTACAGCGGTGAGCAATGCCCCAGCTTCTCTGCCACCTAAATAAAAATGTAATTGAAAGCATTTCATTCTCCACATTATTAAAAGAGAAAATATCACAGTTGAAATGCAGCTGAAAGCCCTATAACACAGACAACTCAAACAAAACCTGCTCCAACAGTAATAAAAGCAAAGGCCTAGTGAAAAGCTGTCCATGTCACATGCTACTTGAACAGATGAAAAGCCTATGTAAAATTTCACAGCCTTGCAGAAAGACAGTGCCAAAAAAAAAGTCCTAAAAAACACAGACATAGGAAAAATAAATATAAAACCTGGTAGACAGAACAAAACTTGAAAATCTCTTCCCCAATATGGGGGTGAGTAAATAGCAACAGACAACCCAGTATTCGGTTCAGTCACGTGGCATGTGTTTTGTTTGTACGCTGTGTAATGTTTGTCCAGAGGAGCAAATACTGTATATATATGGACATTGCCTTTTTCTTTTTTTGAGTTCCTAGCCCAAAACATGAATATGATTCCAGTGGTAAGTTGCTATCTATAAATATATTCATAGTTTACAGTGGAATAATTTTTGTTACACCATACAGAAGCCAGGTGTTACATTGGTGACTTTAATCTACCCAGTTCTGACATCTCTTCCAGCACAGACAGATCAGAAAAACTCCTAAACACATTTCAAAAAGCATTTAAATTGTAAAGTTGTCCCAGCGTATCGAAAATTTACATCCTGTTACAAACTTCTAGCTGATATCAAACTGTCTCAAAACGGTAAATTACCATTTCCTTATTGTACTGGCTCTGTTGAGGACGGAGTTAAATTTCTTCATAGCACCCCTGTGTTCCGTATTTTTGACTAAAACAGTGCTGATAACACACCACAGCTTTGGCTGTTGCGCAGTGCTTGCACAGCGTCCAGGATTCTGCTGTCTCTACCCACTCCACCCCCCTCCACCAGCAAGTAGGCTGAAGGGGGCAATAAGAGGGGAACAGCCAGGACAGGTGACCCCCACTGACCAAAGGGACATTCCAGACCATCTGATGACACACTCAGGGAAAGGAGGAGTAAGGGGGGACCCTCGTGGCTTTTCAAACCTCTGAACACTACTGCTGGGCAGCAGGAACACAGGTACCAGTTTCCTATTAAGACACTTGTTTGTCAGATTCCTGACACTCCCATTCTTTTTTGGATTATTGTCATACAACTCTTGGAGGGTTAATAACTCTTCATGGAACACAATAGTTTTGGTGTATTTTAAAAGCACAAACTATAAGAAAATTAAATGAAAGCCATGAACATAACCAAACCTACGCATTTAATACTGAAGACTGTTTCAGAAACTTAAAATAAAAAAACCCCACCACAGCACTGTTGCAGAGGATTAGGAACTGTGTTCACAAAAACTTGCTTCAGCTTAAAGGAAGCCGGAGTCTTTTACAGGGGAAAGGAACAAAAGCATGTTTCACAACCTCCGGCTCTCTCTTTCGCAGTTAAAAGGAGAACTTCACAGCCTAGCCCTTGAAATAATCCCCCAAAGTTTATTTTGCCACTGTTGAATACCCTCATTGCTATTTCCCCATCCTGAATATCCCACTTCAGAACAACCCCATCAAAATTTAAAAGATGATGATAAACTATTTTCTGGAAAATATCCTGAGGAATCAGTATCACCAGCTGTACTTCAGCCCTTTCAAGCAAACAAATGTCCTTCTCCCCTGGAGCGTGGGAAACAAGACTCTAGAGAGAACGACGTTTTTACTGAGCCTTCACAGGATGTCAGTATGTACTATGTGCCAAGTTGCATTTCACTGCCAATCTAGGTACCTTTGTAGATATCCACTTCAATTCAGGCAGAGCAATTTTATCCAGCAAAACATCCAAACTAACGCATATGCACAGGTCCTCTTTCAAGTGCTTATGTGCCTGCTTCAGCTGGAGTGTACACTGTGGTCTTCTTGAGCAGACTGTAACAGGAAATTTTTGTCCCAATAGAATTCTTCTAGAAAAATATTGATCAGTGCAATTACACTTTCGCATATACGAAATTTAGCTGTTTTGCTGGAATAAGCCTTTAAAGCTCATGGCGCAGTACTGCACAACACTTCCTTGGCTTTGACTGTCTTAGCGCAAATCCAACAGGTCTCATTTATTACCTGATATCGGAGAGCTGGAGTTGATGAGAGAGTTCAGATTTTAAACGTTCTAGTTCTTTTCTAAGTGGCAAACTCTTCTTTAGCTTTTTTACTGCACTTGCTTCATTATCATCTAGCCAGGATCTGAGTGAGGGAAAAAAACCCAAACCAATGGAAGAGGCATGCTGTATTATCTGCCATGCAAACACACAACTAACTGAATTCTTACTGTTAACATTAACATTTTATTTCAAGTTACCAGGTAAAGGGATCTTTTCAAAAGCAGAGGTCAGAAACTGAAATTGCTAAATGCTTCAGCTTAAGATACCTACAAAGGAAAACCCTGCCGTTAACGCCATGGAGGGGGACGGGACTAGGGAATCAAACTGAAACAAAAGACACTGACAGCGTTACAACCATAAGACTTTGCAAGATGTGAAAGGCGTAGAAGAGCAATTAGTGTGATTTAGGGGAGTGGCTTCAGAATTTAGTGCCTTAATGACAGAAGGTCCCACACGTCTGCCTTTAAAAAACACCAACCCAACCAAAGCGACCGTAGGTGACTATTAAATAAGGGAGGTGGTACGGAAGGGCTAAGTTAGGTAACTCTTACAGAGCTAGGGCAAGCATAGATTGAGCAGGTCAAAGTTCTACAGTTCTTTTGTCAATAATCACCAACAGGCAAACATGACTCGTAGAGTACATCTAAAACTATCAATAAATAGATCATTCTATTTCTAGGAAAAAACTACTCTTAAAGAGATCGAGCCTATGTTCATAGCATAAGCTCATTTTCATGCTCATTTTTACAAATACGCCCGTTCTCGTACTGTATTTAAGTGAAAAAATTCAAACTCGGAAGCAAAGTGAGTGGTCCAATGCCAAATGGCTAGGTATTAAAATCAGACTGTTAATATGTAACAGTGTGTGGCATTTCTTGTAAATGTGTAAAAATAAGTAAAAATATTCTCTAGTACATTAAATCTCAGTCAAGTGTTTCACAGGAGCATGTATTACAGTAGTTTTACTGCGAGGTGCTAGGCCGGATGAGCGGTATTCTTTGCTCTGAAAATACTACCACCACAGTTACACGCTGCATTTCATCCAAGTTCAGCATTTGTAACTGCCTTAATTTAAGTATTAAGCTCGATATGCTGCACAACAAATCAGAAGCACAACACCAAGATATCTGGCAAATTAAAACATTCTAACCTTTGTTTCCATCTATTATCTTCCACCCCCAATAGTCTGTGATAATGAAATACTAACAATAAATTTAGTAGCCATATAGTTTTGTGTTACACAAGCCCTGTAAGAGGTAAGGAGCTATTTGGAGCAAGCAGAACCTCTGCTTCCTCCTGAATCATCACCAGTATTCCATAAAACTCAAAAACTGGATTGACCAAACATGAATGATGGGCAAAGAAACAAGAATGCCTCAGATCTGCTGGCACAATAGTTATCCCAGGAGCTCATCGGAACTCTCTTCAGTTATAAAAAGTGTGACAGAATTACATGCTGGACAATCAAGTTTGGTATTGCACAGCATGTTTACTGACTACCTTTAAAAAACTCAGCATTAGAATAAGAACAATTTAGGTTAGGAAATACCAGTTAAATAAAAGCCTTACATACATCAACGTTGTTTCTACTCTCTGCGCTTGTTCTAGTTCCTCCTCAGGATCCTTGAATCCAGTAAATGAGTAGTAAGTCTTATCCCATTTGATAGGTCTGTTCACTGTGCTTTTTGCTTCCTTGTGGGGCTGAGAGTTCACATTCAGACTCTGAACATGCTCCGTGGATAAACTGCAGGAGTTGAGAATATCCAATACTGTGCTCAGGAGATCCCTAGTATGTAATGTAAAGCTCACTGCTCGAAACCCTATAAAATACAAGGCCCACAAAATTAGTATTATTTAATTAAAATTATTTTAAATGCATTCACATTTCCCTCATCTTACAAGAACTCAAACAAGGCATACGTACTTGGAAATCATTATGACATTGTTACGTTGATAATCACTGCAAAATTCACATGCAGTTTAACCTTTAAAACTGTTCTGTGTCCAAAAATATAAATAGAGCTGTTTTAACTATCTGACTCATTGGACAAATTGGCAACCTAGCCACAGATGCAGCATAACCCAGAAAAGGATGCTTTTGCTTTAGTGGTGACAGTTTTGTCCAACAGCTCTTCACAATTCACATTATTACTGATTCTCTCTTTGGACATAATTCACTGCAGAAGCGTAGTACTACAGCAGCTCTTCACAGGCTATGAACAGAAGCATCAGAATAAAACTTGCACGCTGGCCACAACTAAGCCCAACCACTTACAGTGGGCTAATTAGCCCGTTATAAAACAATTAAGTATTAGACTCAAGAGCAGAACACTGTGGGCAGTTCAACTGTTAAACTTTAAGGAGACCGGACACAACACCACTATTTTCTAGCACTGCGTTCTCTCACAATTTGCTCAAGTGTTTTGACTAGCTGGACGCAGAGCTTAAAACTCAGATAAGGCATATTGGTACATCAGGGACAAATATGTGGAATAAAACTAATGAAAAACAGTATTCCCAATTCAGCAAAGTTTTCTGTAGTCTCAGCTAAGAGACAATGTGGTAAACTAAAGCATCAGGTATTATACAACTTCTGCTACAACTGTTGTTCCAGTTAAACATGACATCATTAAAAGCAGAAAAATCACCCTTTACATTAACCTATGTTTTTCACTTCCTCATACTGTAACTTGACCTCAACTTTGCAATTTCTCATTCTTTCATTGCTTTTTAAAGCTTAAGATGTTTAACTACTTGGGATGGTCTTAGCTGTCTGATCCAATACATCTTTTCATGGTTTGACAGGGTTTTATTCAGTTGAAAAGTCATTCTGACTGCACAAGGCTAAGTAATGGTCTGAAAGAATTTAAATACAGGAAGATACATTCTGCACGATATAAAAGCACCTGAAGCACTGAAGGATTCTTGAACATTAGAAGAGTTTGGTTCTCTTTCTCTTACATAAAAAGTAAGCTGAGTTGGCTTAAAGGAGCGAAATCCTGGTTTCTGTAGATTCTCCAAGTAGCCATTTAACCTCTTCAGAGAGTTTTCATTTACTTCCTGTTTAAAACAAACAAAAAATCAAACCAAAATCCAAACCATCACATGAATGATGAATTTGGCCAGTTTTCATCTAAACCTTTTTAATCTCACATGCAGAACTAGCTTTTTAAAACTGCCCACTGCTCTTAACTAGTACTGATATAATTATTAATTTATGCAGACAATATGATCTTGCATGAATAAATTGCAGCATGTACATTCCAAACCATCACTTTTAAGGTTGTCAAGCTTAAAGAAATCCATTGATTAAAACATAATGCACAGCATTTCAAAGATATAAAGCAAGTAATATGTATTATAAATTAGACTGGAAGGGTTTGGTATTTTCTTTAAAACAATTAAACAGAAAAGATGAATAAAAAATAATGGATGTTCAAGGGATCTATTCTTGTTAAAGATAAAAATGCATCTTTTTGTTCTCTAGTAACAGCCATATTCAATTCTAATAATACTTCTGCTTCTCTGACAGCAGAAAATTTCCGTCCTCAATATATGACATGTTTGCAAAGAAAGCGCACTAAAGGATTCTTACCCTCTCTTTGGGATGCTGGCCGAAGAAATCTGGATGCACAGCAAAATAGAAAGGTCTGAGAGCATTGATGGCATCAGCTCCTGACAAGGTTCTTGACTGAAGAATGCACTGTAGCAGTATCTTCTCCAGACATAACCTAATAAAGTAATAAAATGTTTATGTATGATGCAACCATCAAGTGGAAAACTGGCATAAATTACATTAGAATGTGACAGAAAGGAGTAAATATTCACAGTTGCAAATATAATCCTTTAAAGCTGGTATTAGAAGTCTGAGTGCTGGATTTTTTCCCCTTGGGACTCACAGAGCTATATTTATATAGAGCAAATCCAACAGGTTCAAGAGATGGTGGATAATAAAGGTTGATTAAAGACATGTAAATAAGTGCAATAACATTTCCCTCCAGTTTCTCAAAGCAGGTTCAAATAAAAGAAGTGGTTCAAATGATAAGGACTGGCTTTAGTGGCCTTTTTTGTAGCTCTTGCTGAAGCTGCTTTTAAAAGCCAAACCTTACAAACTTTTGAACCTCCAAGTTAAAAAATGAAACCCATTATTTTTCAAGCAGTGCCAAATTAATATTAAATTTTACACAGTAATAATCACAATTCAATTAGAAGTTCTGCATTAGTTTGAGGACCATGTACTTGTACCCATTTAAAAAAAACAATCTACTTTCCCAAACATATTCTTTTCTAGAAGACATCAACTAATGAGACAGTACTTTTTTGCCCTTTGATCCTCACTGAAAGAGAAGAAGGGCTAAGAAATTTTAGTGGTAGAGAAAGATTGATGCACCTAAGATGAGAAGGAAAAGTTAAGTTGAAGTAGTTTTAGGAAGTTCAAAAAGCACAAAAGATTGAATACCTCCAATTATGCTAAGTTAAACAACAATTCTGAAAAGAGCACGCTTGTGTACTTGTGCAACAGAAGACTGAAATGGAAGGAAAAACAGGTTCTGAATTAAAACTTGCCCAAATCTCTTGCCATAGCTCAAAGCTGATATTCAGATTAGCAAACTAATTACCAAGAGATGGTGTATATATAAAAGCAGCAAGCAAATGTGATTTGGTGAATATTTAATGACAGATTACTCCTCTCCTTTAGCTGATTTCACAGGCTAACAATCAACTGGCCAACCCTTTTCTCCGTGACTAATGTTCTATGTAGTTGGCAACTCAGAAGGGTAGGGATTCTGCCCTGCTAAGCATGACACTGCTGTTTCACTCTTCACCTCCAAACTGCAAGCCCCAAATAAGAAAATACATGGCAGATTGGAGGTAAAGCTGCTTTTGATTCACATAAAACTAATAGCTTCATTAGCAGTAGTAAGCAAGGCTGTTTTACAAAGAGCTATTTCTCCAGCATCCTATACCAAATAATTGTCCTGGACACAGAAACACATGAGAATTTCCTGACTGCTTTCATTAATTAAAAAAAAAAAGTCTGAAAAATCCACAAATCTGTGCTCAGACCATTAGTGGCATTTTTTGTTTTGGCAAATGGTAAATGACGACAGTTAAATTGTCAAGCAGATGCGATGACCCTTACATCACCCTTTTTGTGTAAACCTTTCCAGCTCTTCAATTAGAAGCACAAAAGCAGTTAAAGCTAATGTTTTCTGCCTAAGAGGTGGGCAAATATTTAATTGGTAGGTCTTAAAAGTCAGCTGGATGAAAACGGGAGGCACTTGTGTAGGAAAGTGGAACAGAAAATCTGTAACGCGAGATGACTGATGAAATTTCAAACTGTTACGACTAAAATCAGTTTTCATGCGTGTGGATTAAATGGGAGACTAAAGACAGAAATGTATTACTAGCACACGCTTCTACCTCCCTGCTGGCTGCATCTGAGGAAGACTCTAAGACCAGTCATCACTATAGCCCATGAGCATACTCGAAATAGCAGGAGACAGTACACAGAAGTACCACAGCAGTATCACGTTTGCGAGGAGAGCAAGAGCTCTTAAGGACAAGAATCTGCAGAGCTGCTCAGTGATGCAGGACAAAAACCTCTACCTGACCTGGCAAGGAAGAAGGCAAATCACATTGGATGAAAGTCCACTCGGTCACATGCTTTACCATTTTGTATCCTGAAACACCAAACCAGTCGTCTTGCCGAGGACAAATTTTTTTTCTTTGTGGTAGCAAGTGGACACGAAGCAGTAAAAAGGGAAAATAAAAGTCTTTCCAGCAAAGGAAAAAAATAGTAAGTGAACCAGCTACCTATCTGATAGCAGTTTTGATTAACAGCCACGCAAGACACCCACATCCCCCTAGGACCAGCTGCTAGGAGGAAGTAAGGAACTCAATTCTCTCTTCAGCTTACTCGTACATCATTTCCTACATCCACTCCTGAGCTACACTGCATGCCATTTCCTGTAGTTAGGGGGGGGAAAAAAAAGCTCCAGTGTACCTGGAAACTATTAATCATAAACTTCCATCTGGTATTCTACAAGAAAAATGGCCAAGTATGGTTAACTTCAGTTAGGGGGGGAAAAAAAAAGCTCCAATGTACCTGGAAACTATTAATCATACTTCCAAGTTTATTAATCATAAACTTCCATCTGGTATTCTACAAGAAAAATGGCCAAGTATGGTTAACTTCAGTTCCCTTGCTTCGTATCTAAACACCACTGCCAAGCTAGTAGGAAGGCTCAGGATTCCAGCCAAAAGTCTATTTTGAACTCGCCTAAAAGAGAAAGGCTCAAAGGCCAAAATTAGTCTGCGTGACAGAAGGAAGAACTCGCTCACTGAAGGTGAAAGAGAACTCTGAGGCATCCTTCAAGTGAAGTGACAAAATAAATGAATTTAGAGAGAAAATGCAAGAAAGATGCTTATGGCTTTGCTCAGAAGGAGCGGAGATTGTTCCAAGAGCTTCATTCAGATCTGAAGAGCAGAGAAAGCCTTCATGTTAAAATCAAGGTCATAATCACTTCGAGGACAGCCGTCCCCACTTCTTGAAAGATATGAAACACAATCTCCACTAGAACACATTATGCAATAGTACCCTAGGACAGATTTAATTTATTGATTAAATAATTGCCTCCAGCTTTCTTTTTACTTTTTCTTCACATCTCTCTGAAGTTTAACTTTTTGCCTTATAGCTTTGACACTGAAAAGCTTTGTTCAATTAAGCTCATTATGACAGCTATATTCACTCATTTTGAAATACTGAGCTTTAATAACTCAATAATGCAGTAATATATTGGATATCATGTTCAGATTTAGACTACCACTTTCTCATAATTAAGCTATTTTAAACCCCTTCTTTTCTTGAGAGCCTTTTTAATATCTCACTCGAGGACAAAGCATATGGCTTTTGGGGATTTTCAACTGTGGATGCTCTGCTGAACGCTTCAAGATGTAAAGATGAGAAAGCCAAAGAAATAAGCATTACGCAAAAATACCAAACCAGTTTTACATCTGTGCAAGTCATGAGCAAACACCCAAACATTTGCTAGAGGTAAATTAAGTCAGCAACGTGCCATACCTTCTCACGGCTCTCAAGCAAAACATTTCAGCAACTCGGTGGTCAAGCTAACTTGCAGCCATCCACTAACTCACTTAAAAAAAAAAAAAGAAAGTCAGTCCTGTTTAGTAAGGGACACGAGTTATTTTCCCCCGTTACTTCCCAGTGCATTCTCCAAACCTTATGTAGTAACTTTTACTAGTAATACAAAATTGAGAAGTCACACATAAAAACCTCAAGTTTTGCGTAAGAACGCCTTCCGTTTTCTCTACAAACTGTAAGTCTTACAAACATGAGGAGTTGTTACCATGTTTTGTTTCAAAGATGAGCAGCTAAGGATGTTCCAGACGGGGGAAAAAAAATTGCCAATAAAGTTATTTACTGAAAATGCTTCCACTCTTCCTGATGTTCAGTTTTTATCTTAAGTATAAAAACAAACAAACATAGAAGCTTTCTTCAAGCACTAACACATACAAGTTCATGGAATTCCATGTAAATGTTTACTCTGCTAAATCTAAACTTTTCAAACAAACAGTAAGACTTGAAAATTTACACACAAACTATTTTATGGGGGCACAATATAAAACCTAAGACAAAGACAGTGTCGTACAACGACACTTGGACAAGTTTGCCGAGATCCGTAAAAAACGAATCCGCAATTTTCACCCGTAACTTCTGCACTAGGCGACTGCAACCGAGCCTTTTCCAACGTGTGATAAACCACTTGGCATGTCAGAGTGCAAACGTACACCTAGTTATTAGGGATTATGAGGGAAGCTCCCCATCGGCAATGTTTTCCCATATGTTTCCATGCACTTATTTTTTTTGAATGTACTTTTCTTTGCACTTTCCAAAAATCATATGTTCCCACCAAGTATGCCATTTTAAAGCACCTGGGATGAGCAGTTATCAGAGAAAACCCATCCTGGTCCTAATCCAGCAGGGTAGTTCCTATTTTGCAAAACGAAGTTTTAGAAGTGCATCTTATGGATGGAAATGTACTTAAGAATACAAATGGTTCACCAAATATTTTGCTAAACAGGATGAGAACAAAAAAGATGCTGAGCTAAGATATCCCCAGAAGACTTCATAATTTTTACCTTCTGATTTTCAAGCAGGGAGGCAAGACAGCCATACTTTGGTTTTCCCTAACAACAGTTCTGGTGAACACATTCAGGCGCTCTCTGGTAATAAACCAGCGCGCTCTCTGTCATTTCAGCTTCAGGGTTTTGGACAGAGGATGGAAAAAAAACCCCAAGAATGTCACTAATCTGCGGTGACGCTTTATATAACCACACAAAAGCATCGTTGTTCCTTGCTCTAAACGCTCTATTAACGGCTTAGAAATTGTTACCGCGTTTAATTAAAAAACAACCAAGACCTCCGGGTTTTGCGGGAGTTTCGCCCGCGCCCCACCTCCACGCCCGGCTCGCTCCCACCACACACGTACCGGTGACGTAGCGGTG